GGGCAAACTGGCACTTCGAGGTCAACGGCCGCGAGTTCTACGCCAAAGGCTCCAACATCATCCCTCCGGATTGTTTTTGGCCGCGGGTCACCGAAGAGAAGATGGCCCGGTTGTTTGATGCGGTCGTAGTCGGGAACCAGAATATGCTACGGGTCTGGTCCTCCGGCGCTTACCTCCACGATTTCATATACGACCTTGCAGACGAACGGGGCATTCTGCTCTGGAGTGAATTTCAATTCAGCGATGCTCTATATCCCGTTCATGACGCCTTCCTGGAAAATGTTGCCGCGGAAGTAGTCTACAACGTTCGCCGCGTGAATCACCATCCGTCGCTTGCGTTGTGGGCTGGAGGAAACGAGATCGAGAGCTTGATGCTTCCGATTGTTCACGGGGTAGATCCCAAGGGGTACGCGAAATATGTCGGGGAATACGAGAAGCTCTTTATTAGTCTCATTCTTCCACTGGTCTATCAGAACACCCGCTCCATTTCATACAGCCCGAGTAGCACCACCGAGGGTTACCTCAATATCGATCTCTCAGCGCCCGTTCCGATGACGGAAAGATACGACAACAAAACTGCTGGATCATATTACGGTGATACAGACCACTACGATTACGATACTTCGGTGTCTTTCAACTATCACACCTATCCAATCGGCCGCTTCGCCAACGAATTCGGATTTCACAGCATGCCCAGCGTGCAGACGTGGCAGCAAGCGGTCGCGCCTGAAGACCTGCACTTCAATAGCAGCGTGGTCGTGCTGCGCAACCACCACTACGTCGTCGGTAGCCTGGACACCGACAACTACGCCAACTCGTCGCGCGGCATGGGTGAGATGACCATGGGCGTAGAACGGTACTACCCCATCCCCAGCAACCCCGACCCGATCGCCAACTTCAGCGCCTGGTGCCACGCCACGCAGATATTTCAAGCCGAGATGTACAAGTCCCAGATCCAGTTCTACCGCCGTGGAAGCGGCATGCCCGAGCGCCAGTTAGGCTCACTCTACTGGCAGCTCGAGGATATCTGGCAGGCGCCGTCGTGGGCGGGCATCGAGTACGGCGGGCGCTGGAAGGTCCTCCACTATGTGGCGAGGGATATCTACCAGCCTGTCATTGTGTCCCCGTTTTGGAACTACACTACAGGCGACCTGTCAGTCTACGTAACGTCGGATCTATGGGAAACAGCCACTGGGACGGTCAATCTAAACTGGCTGGACTTGTCGGGCCGCAGACTCGCCTCCAACGCCGGCACGCCATCATCCGTCTCCTTCACCGCGGGGGCTCTCAACACGACCAAGATCTATAGTACTAATGTCAAGGACCTGTCTCTGTCAGACCGGAAGAACTCCATCCTTCTCTTGTCCCTCAACGGGAAGGGCCAACTTCCTAACTCCAAGGGAGTCGTGTCCCTCGATCACTCCAATCACTTCACACCGGTGTTTCCCAAGGACCTCACTCTCGTGGATCCAAAAGTGAAAGTGACATTCGATGCTAAGACAAAAACATTCACTGTCGAAGCCCAGTCAGGCATCTCCCTCTACACGTGGCTTACCCACCCGGAAAGCGTGGTGGGCTACTTTGAAGAGAACGCGTTTGTCCTCATTCCGGGTCAGAAGAAGACCGTTGGCTTTGTTGTCCAGGAAGACGGGACTGGTGGGGAATGGACACAGGAGGTGACTGTTCAGAGTTTGTGGGATCAAAAGGCGTGAAGCATGTTCTTTGGGGGAAGTATCCAGATCAGTTTCTGCTTTATTCGACTGCCACGCTGTGGACTAGTATGCTCCCAAGTCGATGTCCATAGTGAATAGACAAAATTGTAGTCGAAAGAAGCGAGGTTTCACTCTCCACGGATCGTCCATTTGTAGCGACTCCAGCCATAATAGACGTTACAAAGTAAAGCAAACAAACCGTCAGTCCCATGGCTCTTCACATCGTTCATTTTATCTCCGGAAATAACAAGCAGTCCATAGTCCTCCCATCCCTTGCATATCTTTGCGTCCTACATTTCTAACGACCAACCGGCCATGTCCAATTCCAATCTTTCGCATCGACAATCAAAGATCCGTAACGTTTTGGTCAATCAATCGCTATTAGTACTCCATACTTGAGCCCAGACTAACAAGACCGATACAAAGTACAACGAACTCCGCAAGCAGCCTGCCCAAACGAGAGAAACAATGAGCTACACCACCCTCTGGAGACATCTCTCCCCCACCCAACTAAACACAGCCTTCCACACCTTCTCCCTAATCTCCATCTTCTTCGAAGGCTACGACCAAGGCGTCATGGGCGGCGTCAACGCCTCCCCGCGATACGTCACGCAAGTCGGGATCGGCAAGCCGGACGGCACTGTGACAAACACGACGCACCAAGGCGGCCTGGTGAGTATTTACTATCTAGGGTGTATCTTTGGGTGTTTCGCCGGCGGGTGGCTGGCGGACCGTGCTGGGCGCATCAATGGTTTGTTCGTTGGGTCTGTGTTTGCGCTTGTGGGGGGCGCGTTGCAGGCTGCTGCTCAGAGCTCGGATTTTATGCTTGTTGCGAGGGTTGTTACTGGGGTGGGCACTGGTGGTGAGTTTTCTTTTTCTTTTAACACTTCTGCTGTGGTTGTTTTTTGCTGGGCTGGGGCTTGAGTAATGAGTTGGTATTAACCCTGTGCAGCCCTGACGGGCATCACGCCGGTGTTGGTAGCGGAGATATCTCCCGCGGGTCATCGAGGCGGATCCCTCGGGTACGTCTTCATCGCCAACTGTAAGGTCTAGTATTTGCTCCCTTCATTGGCTGGATCATACTAATTGATATCTCTAGACCTCGGAATCTCAATCGCCTACTGGCTATCGTTCGGCCTCGCATTCATAGACCACGGATACGCAGATATCCGATGGCGCTTCCTCCTCGCCTTCCAATGCATCCCGGCCGTTGTCCTCGCAGTGTGTATCAAGATGCTCCCCGAGAGTCCTCGGTTTCTGGCGTCCGTGGGACGCACCGACGAAGCGTGGGATCTCATGGTTCGTATTCGCAGTCACAAGGTGCATGCTAAGGAGATCGAGCGAGAGTACCTCGAAATTGTCACGTCTGCGCAGGACAGCAAGCCCAGCTCCCCTGTTCAGTTTTTCAAGATCCTTGCTGGAAAGGGAGGAAGGCCGGGGTCGAGCTTGGGACGCCGGGCTTGGCTCTCTCTGTTTCTCCAGATTATGGCGTCTTGGACGGGCATTACTGTTCGTGCGCCGCTCAAGGATGTCGGTGTCCTCTGCTAATGTGGCTCAATAGGCGGTCACGGCATACTCGCCCGTTCTGCTTAGCCAGGCTGGATACAGCGAGACAAAGCAGAATGGGCTCGCAGGCGGTTTGAACACCATCGGTATCATCGGCACGATCATCAGTGCGCAGATTATAGACCGGATGGGCCGTCGGGCGTGTCTAATGCTAGGGTCTGTCATCCTATTCACCGTTCAGTTTATTGTACGTTTCTCTATGTCTCAGACCCGTGCAGCCAGCTAACCAGACACAGGCCGGATGCATATACGAAGGCTCTCTCCACAGTCCCGAAAAAGCACCCCAGTTTGCCCCGGCAGCAGTAGCAATGCTATTCCTCTTCAACCTAGGGTAAGCAAAGTTGCCCTCACCCCCGCTATCTCTAACACAGGCAAAACCCCACAGCAGTGCTAACCACCCCCACCAGCTACGCCGCAACATGGGGCACAGTAGCCTTTCTCATCCCAACAGAGCTATTCCCCTCTGATCTCCGGGCCCAAGGCAACGGGTTCGGTATCACGGGCTGGGCGATCGGCGTGGGGATGACGACGCTTGTGAATCCCATCATGTTCGACGGGATCAAAAGCCGCAGTTATTTCCTGCTCGCTGCGCTAAACTTGCTCTGGATTCCAGTCGTGTTTCTGTTCTACCCGGAGACGGGTAATCGGTCGTTGGAGTCGATTGAGGGGCTTTTCATGACTGAGAGTCCGTTTTATTGGGGTATGGAGAAGGCGTATCGGGAGGGTGGGGGGGTAGTAGAGAGGCTGTCTGGGGATGAACCATCTAGAAATGAGGAGGTTAAAGGGGTTTCTTCGAAAGAGCTGGAGATTCAGAAATGTAACTGATGGGATAATCTGCAGTTTGTCTCTTTGTTCAAGCGCGGCTTTTCTCGTCCTGAAGAACCTGTCGGATATATCGATCTGCGTCCACATAATGTCATATACCCATGGTTCTATCATCGTAACTGCTGTGTCAGGGACGGTCAATATGGAAGTGCTTTCACTTCCTAGCTTCACAGCACGTTGCACCATCAATATCTTTCTCGAATATTAAGAATGCATCAAAGTCAACAATCTCCCACTTGCTATTTCTTATCACATCTAAAGTCGAGACTCACCAGCCATGCCTTGTCAGATCCATCACCGTTTCGCAACACAATATACACGAAAGTCATCAAGTCAGGAAACAACGACCCTCCCAACCACCCAGAAAAAGAAAAACAAGAAAGAAACTCAACTCATATGCTACAGTCACAGCCCCCCAATCTAAAACAACAATCAGATGAAACAAAAACTTAAGCTCATTCCTACCCCCCTTCCAGCCCCCTCAGACAAGGTTCCTGCCGTCGCCATCTCGTCACTGCCTCCAGTCCTCACCCAATTACAGCCCTTGCTCGAGCGAGATTGCAACTGATCGCGAAAATCCACTTTGGTTAGAGAGACCAATAGGGGAGGGGTCCAGATGGCGCGTACCGGAGTATCTTGTGGTTGACGCGTCGGGGTACATAGTATGTAGGTTCGTCACTATCTGTTTATAACTACTAAATCTGATACGGATGGGAGGGTGGGATATTAGCTCAAAGGTTTGAAACAGCCATCTGTCCTAGATGCAAAAGAAATACTATTAAGTTGCTTATCTTATTTTCTAAACAAATTGAACGCTAATGATACACCACCATATTCTATCTCAGTATCAAACATACTGTTCAAGCGACACCCACCACAGGCGTCGCCTCAATCCCATTAGCCCTGATCATACCCCATTGTAGTCAGTATAGCACCAATCGTTTTCGGTCCAACATTGCCTTCCTCGGCCACCAGCCCTGTACACATAGAGAGGGTGTTCCTGATCTGGCGGCCGCTGAGGGTTTGAAGGGCAATCTCGCCGAGTTCTTTAGGTGGGAGCTTGATCCCCCCAGTCCGACGCACGAAGTTCGCCCAGATTTCCTTTCGATCGTTGCCACTGGGGATCGGCACATTAACACAGTAGTGGAGGCGTGAATGAAAGGACGTGTCTATGAGATGGGGTCGGCTCGTGGTGAGATACATGACTCCTTGGTGATATTCCAGCAGCCTAAGGAACGCGGCAATGGTGGCGTTGTGAGCAATATTGCCCGGTACCCGCTGCTCCATGTATATGTCTGCTTCGTCAAGGAGGAGAATGGCACGGAGGGCCGTGGAGATGTCTAGGGCCCGGCGCAGGTTTCGCTCTATGTCGACGCTGGACACACCGAGCTCGCCGGGAGTGATAGTGTACAAGGGACGTTCGATGTGTTCGGCGATTGCTGCCGCTGTGAGCCTCGTGGTGTGGCTTCAACGAGTGAAGAGGATTCGTCACTTACCTTCCACGGTCAACGTCTTCCCAACTCCCGGTGGTCCGTGAAGGAGGACCACACGCCCTTTTCCTTTGCCTGCCACGAAGCCCTTAGCCGTGTCAATCGACATGACACATGAAACATACCTGCAATGACATCGTTAAATTTGTGTCCTTTGAGATGGTTTGCCGTCATACAACGCAGAACACGCTTGGTACTCTCGGGGAGAATGAGCTCATCCCAAAGTTCGCCGTTGAACTCGATTGTCTCGAAATGCTCCGGATCTCCCCAGAGAAACGCCTTTTCATCCAGTGAGAAATATGGGATCTTGTCAGTGCAGATCATCAGATCTTCTACCTTCAGCTGGCCACTATCTAGTCTCGCTGACATGTCGTTTACTTTAACACGCATCCGCGGTTCCAATCCACGGATGACGAGGGTATTAACAACAACCCGAACAGGAGCCTCGCTTCGGGGATCCCAGTATGCCTTGAAATGATGTCCCTTCAGCTCCTCGAACTGTAGGCCTCGTCTCATCAAAGTTCTTCTGAGAGCTTCAGTATTCGGGTGGGAACCGAAGGGAATCAACGCCAGCTCGGTCAGGTAACGGATCCCCTCAAACCGAGCAATGTCCGCATGGCGAGATACGGTTCCAAAAGTCTGGCCATCGTAGTCGACATATTCGTACTCGATGACGAAAGTCACAGACCCGTTCGGTACTTCCCTTGGCAGTGAACTCGTATAGTAGGAGCTGGTCACTCGATAGGCCCGCGCACCCTCGGAAACCCCATCGACGACCATATCACCGGGGGAAAAGGCGTCCGCTAAGATATCAAAGCTCGCAGTGCCCCTGGTCAAGAAAATTCACGAAGAAGGTTACCATCATCCATCCAATCTAGAGACGTTGACTTACTTGGGAAGCATGGCATCGATGTCCCGAAGCCGAGACTGGTACTCTTCTAGAATGAAATCCAAGAGCACGGCTACATGCTTGACGCACAATTCGCCCTCATTGACAGCCGCGTCGTGGATTTTCCAACGCTAGCGCATATCAATCATCCACCCATTTGCTGTATCATGTCTACATACTCACATTTCGAAATAGACGGTCACATGGCCACTTGAACGAAGGTTTGCTTTCCAGCCTTGCTTTCTCCTCCGGAATTGCCTCCATCAAGGCCCTCAGGATCAAAGGACTTTGAACATCCAGAAAAGTATCGATCAGCGTCTTGCAGTCTTCGGTAAATACGCGTCGCAGGGCCAGAACGCCCTCGTCGGATTTATTCAAGAGGAGAGATGCGCCGCTTCTTCTAGTCCTATACTCAAAGGGTTTCCCAAGGACGCTTTCCTGACCACGTATCTAAACCAGTCAAGTTCTGTCCCAATCCATACTAGGAGTTGGGAAAGCCCTTACCTCATGCACGTGCTCGACCACAGCCTTCATGTCTTCCGTAGAGGCATCCGACTTTGCTTCTTGGGAGGCTGGGCGGGCATTTGTGGAACTAGGCTGGATGTACTGGAGGCCCACGCCCTCGATCAATTCTATTGATCTGTCTAGGGCTGCTTTTTTCGATTTGTTTTGGGTTGCTTTTTTTAACATGTCCAGAATTGTTTTTGATGGTCTCTGGGGTTTATTTGGTCCTACGACCGTGCCGGCCGAACTGTCACTGTCGTAGCCATCATTGTCGGGGCCATCATTATCGAGGGTATCATTGTCGGGGATATTGTCATCGGGGCCATCATTGTCGAGGGTATCATTGTCAGGGCTATCTTTGTGGGAGCTCTCCCAGAAGGGTCGGAAGAATTCCATGCTAATAGATGCTAAGGAGTATGGATAAAAAGTCGTAGTAAGATGCAGACCAACTAAGAATCAAGTAACCAGTGTGAGTGTGAGTATGAGTATGAGTATGAATACGAAAGAACTTGTCCCCAGAAGAGACAGAAGAGACTATAATAAAAATTCACTACAGTAGTACCTTCCCATCAAGAACGTCCAGCTCTTCCCCATCCTCACCACCTAATTCTTCACACAAACAATCTCCCCATGGGGCACCGAAATCCACCCCTCCTCACTCCCCCCAAGCACCCTCCAAGCCCGCGCCGCACTCTCCAGTTCCTCCCTCCCCGCAACCCCATTCTCAACCGCCGTTCTCGCAAACGCCGAATCCTTCGCCTCCGTCCTCTCCGCCCAAGCCCCCGCCCAATCACCCACTTCCTCCGGCGTACTCAAACACCAAGAGCTAGTACTACACCGCACATCATTCCTCTCAAACCCGGCCCTCCTCGCCCAAGCATGCAACATGCGTCCCGCATTCGGCTCGCCCCCATTCGCCCTCGTCACACGCATATATAGCCTCCTCCAGTCCTCCATATCCTCACTTTCAGGATACCACACCCAAGAGCCGTAGTCCGACTCGCGGGCAGCGACGATGCCGCCCCCCGATTTAGCAACGCGCTTCATCTCGCGCAGCATGCCGACGGGGTCGCCCACGTGCTGGAGGACCTGGTGGCAGAACACGATGTCGAAGGTGTTGTCTGCGTAGGGGAGGGCGTTGGCGTCGCCGGCTGTGAAGGTGACGTTGGTGGTTCCTTGCGAGGCGGCGAGGGATTGCGCTTGGGTGATGATTGAGGGGGAGCTGTCGAAGCCGGTTATGTGCCCGTTGGGGATGCGCTGGGCTAGGTCGACTGTTATGGTGCCTGCGCCGCAGCCGACGTCGAGGATTGTGCTGGTGGGCTGGATGTGTGGGAGGAGGTAGGCGGCTGAGTTGGTTGCTGTGCGCCAGGCGTGGGCGCGCAGGACGGCGGGGTGGTGGCCGTGGGTGTAGGTTGCGGATTCTTGGGACATTGTTCAAGATTGTTGGGTAATGAGGTTGTTGTTTTTTTTTTTTGGTGAGTGTTGTGTAGAAGTTGATAGTAGCAGTGTTGTGGTTGCGATACGTTCGTTTAAGTATACATAGATGTGAGGCGGGATCTAATGCATGCCCTCCGGTATCGGAGGTGCTGCTGCAACATCAGAGGCGGAGGTGCAGTACTATATTCTAGTTCATAACAAAGACATGCTATTTTCTACTTAAGGAAAGCGCGGTTCATTTACTTTGGTGAGGGGAACCCTAATCTTATTGCATGTAGGCGTGTTGGAAATCTATGCCGCTACTCCCCGGGGACAACATAGTATACCAAGAGAGTAGTCGCAACTATAGCACCAACGGACTATAACTAGTGAACTCTATTTATACCTCCTTGCTATTTATCTTCTTCTTTCTACATGTCTCTCTCCTACTATATATTCCCTCCGGAAACAACTCCTAATTTTTACCATCTAACACACCTCCACCATCACATCTCCCAACTTAATCAGTCGGAACCACCCTCTTCACCTGCATCCCGCCCCTCCAACCAATCCACCCCGTCTCCTTAGGCCCCCGAGCAAGCACCACTCCCACGGACACAACCGTAAGCGCAACACTAACACTGCCCGAAAGAATCCACCCACCCTGCGCATAAGCACGATTCCCAACCGCCGTGCCCGTCAGCTGGCCGCAAAACACGCCCAGCATGTACCCCGTGTTCAGCCGGTTACGGGCCTTGGGGGCCACAGCGTAGATAGAGACCCTGTTCGCCGTCTGGGACATTGACAACCCGAAGTCCTGCACCGCGGCTTGGATGATGGGCCCTGCGACGGTGAACGAGCCTGTGTAGGTGCCGATTGTTATACCTGTTAGGACGATGATGAGGGAGATGAGGAGGGAGAGTTCCGGGACGAGGACGTCGATGACGAAGCGGGAGAAGACGGGCCCTAAGAACATGGGGACTAGGCCGGCGATGGAGAAGAGGCCGATGGTCAGGGTCGAGAAGTGGTAGGGGGCGCCGGAGAGGAGGAAGGTCACGGTTGTCCAGAAGGAGGTGAAGGTTGCGGAGCCGAGGAAGCCGATGAGGGTGCATTGGACGAGGACGGGGGACTTGCGGAAGTAGCCGAGGATGGAGGTGAGTGTCGACCAGTAAGAGATGTTGGCGTTTGTGGAGGGGTAGTCCGGCATGAAGAGCCAGAGGAGGATGAAGATGAGGTACTGCAGGGCGAGGGAGAGCCAGTAGACGTTGCGCCAGTGGGAGCGGTCGGCGATGATGCCGGCTAGGAGGCGCGCGGAGAGCAGGCCGAGCATGAGGCCTGAGGAGACGATTGAGAGGGCGGTTGCGCGGCGGGCCGGGGGGGCGAGATCGCCTACTAGGGGGAGCATTACTTGCTGTGGTGTGTTAGATTGTGCGGATGGGAGGAAGGTAAATGGTGGAAAGATGGAGTACCGGTGTGACTGTGGTGATTGAGGTGATGAAACTAAGGGCCAGAAACACGTTGAAGGACTCGGTGAAGCAGAGGCCGATCCAGATCGTTGCCGTGGTGAAGGTCAGCAGGAGGACAAACGGCCTTCGACGCACGATGTCTCCCACTGGGCAAAGGAAGATGAGGCCCGCTGCATAGCCTGCCTGCGAGCAGGTGGGAATCAACGACGCCCGCTCTTGGGTCACATTGAAGTGGTGGGCGAGTATGTCTAGGAGTGGCTGTGCGTAGTAGAGATTGGCGACCTACGATGCTGTCAGGGCAGACTCTTGGCTATTGGGGTCTGATAGAGTTCCAATGGAAAGGGGCATACCGTAAAGGTCGCTGCAAAGGCGAACAAGACATTCAGATAGTAATTGAACTTGGGAGGGTTGTCCAGGTCCCAGCGACATCGGGGAGGAGCCCAGAGGAAAAGATCCAGCAGTCTCCCGCGTGAGGGTTCTAGGGCTTGTCCTCCATCCTATGGCGCGTCAGAAGTTTTCTGTCCCCATTATTCTGGGTGGGAAGATACCGGTGGAGAAGCAATGCTTGGTGTTTGAAGATCATTTTGCCCAGGATGTTTAAGCTCTTCCATGCTCAATCTCTAGAAGCTTATCCAAACCTCTTAGGACAATATATATATACCTTGTACATATAGCAGATACCCACCTCTCAGTTGGATAGAGATTTCGGTGCGAATATTGTCACCTGTGCACACACCGTCCATCGCGTCTTCCACTGACTAATTCTCCAGGATCACAATGCCTGTCAGTCCAATCCGATTCCGCTGCGGGGTTGGTTGGGGAGTAGATAAGAGTTGTGCCCTAGCAGGTGTTTACTAGCTTGTCTTGAGGGGACGGTGGTTTTCATGCCGCTCCACTATGAGTGGAATGTGATCATGATTGGCAAGTCGGGGTATTGTCGTGGATGTTCAAATAATATCCTAGGATCGGGCAATCCATGTGAGGGATTACGCCATACGATGGTGGATGGATGGATGGATGTTTCACAGCCTGAGTGGTGGAAAGAAGGATAAATTCAGTGTCAATCCCTGTATGAAACCAAAGCAGAAAGCAATCTTCAACAAGATGGGCTTGTGGTTTAGTGGTATAATACTCGCTTAGCATGTGAGTGGTCCGGGGTTCGATTCCCCGCGAGTCCATTTTTTTTCTCTTCTTCTTTCTGAAGATATTTTATATCTTCAGGTTTTTTTCTTTTGGTTGAATCGATTAGATATGAATGGTCTATTCTTTTGGATCCTGCAGAATTGTGTCATGTACTGAAGATCAACGGAAGATCCATTGAGAAATCTCCGTTCCATGTCCATTGCCATATATCCATAACTATATCCCCGTCTTATATATATCTCCCACCCGGACAAACCTGCAACAATGATCTGATAAGGTATGGATGGACGGAAACATCCTGGAAGTTCCTGAAGATCGGCGTTCCAAATGCATCAATATCACCGATGATGGTGTCATCATACTAAACCCGACCCGTCCCATCCCATAGAATAGACTAGAAAAGATCTTGATTCCATTCTCGTGCCCTAATCTCTGCCTCTCCGAGTTTTATTTCCGATCGGAGGTAACGGTTGATAAAGGCTTGATATCTCCACTCTTTTCCTCTTTCTCCATCTCCAACTATCGGAAAATTCTCTCTTCCCCTCCCCCGCCATTGCGGGCTTCCTTTTCTTCCGACTTATCCTTCGCTTCCCCCCTCCACTTCCGTCTGGGATTGCGTTGGGGGTTACTGTCTTTTCTTTTTTTTTTCTTTCTTTTTTTTTTTTCCCTTTCCTCCTCTTCCCGGAAGACGAATCGCCTCTCTAGTCTGTCCCTTCGGCAGACAATGGTGACTGATCATGGGTCACCACAAGCTGCACTCGCCGGCCATGGTCCCCTCCATCTCGGCCTTTTCCTTACTGCCCATGACGCCTCCCGATCCCTCTGATTCCGGCATTCCCAGTACCAAAGATGGCCTTTCCGTGGCAGCTGCCCTGCAGGTTATCTCCACCGAGCGTGCCGCGCTCTTCCACCTCGAACAGATCTACCAGACCGACGCCCTGGCCCAAGAACACCTGGCGCGCGCCGTGACCCAGATCGCCCGCAGCATTCGCAATGGCGGTAAACTGGTCTGCTGCGGGGTGGGAAAGAGCGGCAAGATCGCCCAGAAACTCGAGGCCACCATGAATAGTCTGGGGATCTACAGTGCCTTTCTACACCCGACAGAGGCCCTCCACGGGGACCTCGGCATGGTTCGACCGGTAAGACCAGTCCAATTCACTGAGTGGATTGAGTCTCGTAGGAAATGCTAACATCGTGTCTGCCCATAGAATGACACCCTCCTAGTCATCTCCTTCTCGGGGCGTACCCCCGAGCTCCTACTCCTGCTCCCGCACATCCCCTCCACGGTCCCCGTGATCGCCATTACAGCGCACATGCACCCATCCACCTGCCCGCTGCTATCCTTCCAGCCCTCCGACATGGGCATCCTCCTCCCAGCACCTATCCACGAAGACGAAGAGTCCGCCATCGGCGTGTGCGCTCCAACCTCCTCAACGACAGTGGCCCTGTCTCTAGGCGACGCTCTAGCCATCGCAACCGCGCGCCGGCTACATACCGCACCAGGCCGCGGCCCCGCAGAAGTCTTCAAGAGCTTCCACCCCGGCGGAGCCATCGGCGCCGCCTCGTCAGCCTCAACCCCCATGAGCATGTCCACCGCGTCCTTCCTCACAGACGACCTCTCCGTTCCGTCCCTGCAGCCAATCCCCGAGACCAATGGCGCCCCCCCGCTGCGCTTATGCGATCTGCTCGTCCCCATCGACCAGATCCCAACAGTCACCTCCTCTTCCCAACATACCCGCCTCCTGGATGTCCTCCTCACAGCTATCCAGCACCCAGCGGCTCGGTCGTGGGTCTTCCTCTCCGAGACGGAGGACGAGATCATCCCGCCCCGCCATCTGCGCACCCTCTCGCAGTCTACAGACGTCGACATGACCGTCTCCAGCTGCGCACAAACGGGTCTTCCCTGCGCCGTCTCCCGCGCCGAGTGGCTCTGTCTCCCGGCGTCCAGCACCGTTGACTCGGTGCGCCGCCGTGTCGCCGAGTCCACTGGCCCGACTATCGCAGTCATCGCTGCCATGCATGACGCAAAACCAGACGTCTGCTTGGGCGTGGTCGAGGCCTCAAGTTTGTGGGATCCTCATGGCTGAGTTTCTATTCCTCCATACTACACTTACAACACACCGCGAAGACGCATATAATCTTGGACTGCATGCACGGCTGGCTTGCCATGCACTTTTATCTCCTCTCCCCTTCTTATTTTCTTGTTATTGTCACGAAATGACCATCATAGAGATCACGCTTTCCATTTCTTGTCTTTTCTCCGGCGAGGTTTTTATTTCACCCCATTTATTTCTTGTTTTATTACCCCGTGTCAGGAACCTCAAATGGTCCGACACATGTTGATTCATACATGTTTTTATTTTATTTTATTTTATTTATTATGAGTGTACATGTCTATGCTATTTATCCTATCTATTACATGCTAGTATGTATATTCTGATTTATACTCCGGTACCAATCTATCATACCCATCCATCTACCCTTATCCTCTCAATCCTTACACTTTATACTTTATACTTTGGACTTTATACTTCATATGTTTGTATATGAACATGTTTTAATCTGCTAGTATATATTGTTGTGATCGCTACATCTGTTATGATATATGACTATGGGGAGCTCCCTTTAGTTAGTTATTAGCTATACATCTACCCACAAGTGGGCCTATATCCGCTTTACCGAGCCGAACACTCGATCCTTATTCCTGGCCATGACACTGTGGCCGCTATGGCATGCCGTAGTCAGGATACATTTTCTCAAGGCTCACATAACTCACCGCCCAAAGCACTGGGAAATGCTAAGAGTTATGTCGGCACAATTCACTTTATACTTTGATTTTGCGGCGACACCACGCTCTCAACGTCAATCTCGCAGAACCATGGATCATATAAAATTTCCGCAGGCGAAGGTCTCTTCGCGGGATCATATTGCAAAATCCATCTAATGAGCGCCTTCACTTTGTGGGCTTCCTCCTCATTAAGATCGGGGCCGGCCTGATCGAATAACTCTTCCATAGACGTCTGCTCCACCATAAGCGGTTCCTCTCCCGGAGCGACTCCTCCAAGCTGGCAATTAAAGAGCTTTCTCTCGGGTGTAAAGTAGAGCGACGAGGTCTTCCAATACTGGAAGAACTTGTCGGGGAGGGCGCCGAGCCGGGCAGTGAGGGAGAGAAGATGATCGTCATCTTCAAACTCGGACCACGGTATACAGAAAAGTGGCTGTCCGGTAATAAGTTCAAAGATAAGGCAGCCGAAACTCCAGACATCAACAGTATCATCGACAGTTCCGGTAAGAAACAACTCGGGAGGTCGAAGACCGAGTGGAGTAACGAGCTTTGTTGGCGGGTCGGTAAAGAAATATGCTATCCAAGGTAGGCAGGTATGAGTATAGATATTCAGTAAGAAAACAGAACAGATAATCGAAACGGGAGGGACTCACCACCGCCCATATCTGATAATTTGACCTTGAACCCTTCGGCATAGCATGTAAAGGGCACCAGCGGCTGCGCAACACAGAGATATCGAGGAGCCCATTTATCTTCTTTACCATCTAACCTCTTTACTGGAGGCGAGATCAACCGGGCTTGCATATCTTCCCCCTGCCGGAGCATGTCCTCAGGTATCGAGTCAATATTATTAAGAGTGAAGAGTATATTCCCTGGCTGGAAATCTCCATGAGCAATACCATTTTCATGAAGAAATGCAAGAGCCTGCAAGGATTGCTTGAGAATACTCTTTGCCATCCAAAGTGGATAGCGGACCTTCATTCCTCGCCTGCGAGGTTTGAATTGCGGTAGCTCCTCGACCATAGTATTTACACTCGGACCCATGGGCTCAAATACCAGGCACTTGTGGACGCCATTGGGGCCGTGATGTTCGAACTCGCCTAGCACTCGCGTGATATGCGGGGTCCCCTCTACTGGTGCGACTTTCGTGATGTGGCGGAGGACTCGTAGCTCGGTTGTCGATCCCGAGATTTCCGACACAAGAATCTTTAGGGCGACATATCTACTACTTCTTAAAGGAAATGAGTAACGATAATCTATAGCGTCGCGGGTAGAAAATGCAAAAGATGAACTTACTTCAGGTCACGGGCGAGCCAAACCGTTGAGTAGGAGCCTTCGCCGAGCTTCCGGATGACCTTGTACTGGCCATTGTTGAAGATGTCGCCGAGAACAACTGGATGATAACCACCTGGGCGGTAATCCTCCACCCACTCACAGGGTAATGTAATAGTTTTGAATCTCTGTTCGCCATCTCTTATTGATGGCGGGGTGGGAGGCGAGGTACCCATAGCTACGATGAAGTTGCGTTGTCCAAGAGTTGCCGAGCGTAATGTTTTGTAAGAGATTCGGGATTGTGAAGGGGAAATCCTCAACTGCAGGAGCTTGGGTGCCGCATCGCGACACCTGTCGAGTGTTGTGTCGTACATGGTTTCTCAACCCAACAGCGGGCCATCTCTCCTGGCTCTTTGGATTAACTTTTATCGCTCAACATGCAAGACGAGATAGCTTAGTTACGACGTCAACTGGAGGAGGCAAAACGGCGCCGCGAAGAGGAAAGACAGGCACAGGAATACGCAGAACAGCAACGGGAAGAAGAAAGACAGGCACGGGAAGTCGCAGAACGGCGATTGCAACCTAATAACCTGTTTCACCTTGTCGACCGCTGTCACCAATGTCTTTCACAGAGAATCCAATCATCTGGAAGAAACTCGAGCGTGCAGTCGGCTTTACCTCACGTCCGCTCTTTCCTTCTGATAACCCAGCTGGACCATGTCGGAACAACTATTCAGGACCGACCGATTTACTCAGAGGCAACTTTACGAAATTTCGACCAAGACACTGTGGATAACTTTGTGGAAAAGATTATTGAGGTATTACGAGGCGATGAAACTTTACGACAGGAGTTTGGTATAGAAGGCCGAGTGGCGTTCTATGACCGCACAAACTCGACCTCGCTCGACGACAGCCTGCAGCAGATGCATCTTAATGATGCACCCCATCAACCAACAAACACTAACCGCGGGAGAGGTGGAAGGAGGAGGGAAGGGGAAACAAAGGGCACAGAGTCCGAGTCGGGCTCGCTCGGGAAAGCGACGCAATCGCCGTGCCGATCAGTTCTATGTTCACCTCGTGGCCAGATACCAGTGTATGCCGTGGAGTTCAAAGCCCCTCTTAAGCCAACAGTCGCTGAACTAGTTGCAGGATTGCACAAGATGGACCTGGCACGCGATGTTATGATCAGGAAGGTGACTCATTTGAGTTTCATGCCCAATGTCTTGTCGGTGCTGTTTTCACTCAGATATTCTCATACATGCACGGTCTAGGGCGTCAATACGGGTGTGTTCGGACAGGGGAGGCATATGTCTTTCTACGTATTCCAGCAGATCCCACAATACTTCAGTTTTCCTTGTGTGTCCCAAATCAGGACATGCAGGCAGACTATGAGAGCCGTCTCCGCCGCACTGCCATGGGTCAGATGCTCGCGTTTACCCTTCAAGCACTGGCTGCCGAATCTCCGTCTCAAGAGTGGCATGACACAGCGGACGAACAGCTTTCAACTTGGAATGTTGAATACCTGGACGTCTTGCGCAATATCCCTGAAACAATTCGCAAGTCACCGCCGTCCTCGAATTATCGGTCTTCTCACTGGAAACGAAAACCAAAGACACACGATATCCGTTCCGGTGCTTGAAAGTGTAGGCAGTTCCTCGAATAGTATTTGGCCACCTTTATTGGATCTGATTTCAAAGCTGAAATAGCGTTCAAGTATACTGGATAGCCAGGCTTGCTAAGAGTAGCTTGTCGAGGCCACGCGCTGGGCTCTGCCGGTAGAAGACTTCAGATAATCTTAATAGGATAAAAGTATTTAAAAAACCTTGCCTGCCAGCCACGGGTGAAGCGAGTCTATCAATTAACAGCCTCATTTTGGCATTCAGTGGGGAGCTCTGAACTCTGTACGCAGCGCGAAGGATGAACAGCGTCTTGACTGATCACTCCGGTCACCCACTTATGCGCAACCAAGGTGAGCGTCGTGCGACCCTTAACCCCACTGCTCACCTACTCACCCCACAAGCTCACCTTGCCCAGGCCGCGCGACTTCAGGGCGGCACTGGTCACCTACTAGAACGAGACAGGCAACCGCCTTGGCGGCCGTAGTTTTTTGATCGGTAGGTAGTAGTAGGTAGGTAGGGTACATGGATACATGTAAAATATGTAGTAAGGCGGGGGGTATTCTTTAAAAACAAATCAAGACAAAACAATAGAAAAAAAACAAGCGCATACATAACAAAACATTCGCATCAGGAATTCAACAGATACAAAAACCAGCGGCGGGGTACTGTCTATCCAGACCTTGAAATCTTCAACACAATACATTACTCGTGACATAGACTGGCGGTCCAATAAAGTGGAATAGGAGGTTGGCAGGCAGGACAGTATCGTAGTAGAAAAGGATTGCCGATTTGAACCGTCCATCACGTGGGAACTGCGGGGAGAGGGGGGCTATGTTCTGCCGTGTCTCTGTCGGTGGGGAACCGGGTATTCTCGGACAGGGCTTCGCTGCGTGAGGATCCGGTGGATGGAGACTCTATTTTTGCGTAGATTCGAGGACCGGTAAGATGGGTTGCCCTGGAAAACGAATGTAGGGACTGGGTGCGTTCTCCCCTCGGACCACGCGCTCTCCCCACGCAACTATCGGATCGGCTTGACTCGATTGGGAATTAAAGGACCGGAATGCCGACGGCGAACGGCATCAACCAGACTGGTTGGATTCCTGCTTTCCTTTGCCTTTGTCGGTGGTCGAGGCCGCTCCGTCGTCTTCGTACAGGTGGTGCTGCTCGATGTAGTGGATGACTGGCACGGGAATCAGATAGCGAACGCTCATCTCACGCCGGAGGAACAGCCGGATCTTCGTGCTGCTGACGTCGTTTTGAATGAGCTGCTGGATCACGTAGATATTGTCCTTCCACGGCTGCAACGCAGCCAGCGCCTCGTCGATATCGGTTCCGCTCCGTTCAACAATGAAAGACTGGTATATATTAGAAAAGCGTCCACAGTCACAGGAGACGAGAGCAGGAACTCACCCCATATTTGCCCAAGATGTGATCGAGATCCTTCTCGCTCCACACACCCGGTGTTGACATGGTGTGGATCAGATCTGCCCCGGCCAGCAGGGCAATCCGCACCGGCTTCCGAGTGCCGTCTCCGACGTCGATACCCTGCCGCACGACGTTGATCTCATGGTCGAAGTGGTCCAGCACGAGCGCCGTGGGCTGGTATTCCTTCTGCATCGGTTCCCAAGTATCGACCATCAACCAATCGGACGTCTGGTCCACTGCGAGTTGACACATAGCCACCCTATCCAAATCAAACGTTTCCAGTCAGCACCCATGTATCCTACCCTCCGCACGAGAAACCCAAAGATCTATCTTACCGGTGCTCCGCACTGGCCAAGCCCGCCTTGCGATAGGCATCCGATACCGGCGAGAGATAACCCCCCACCATCTCAAAATTGGTGCTAAATTTAACGTAGTCGCCAGCCATCTCGAACATGCGCAAGTGGAGATAGGTGATGGGAGAGAAGGACCCGCAGGCCACGAGGATGAGCGGCTCCTTGCTCGGATCATCCATCTTGCGCTTCAGGCGCAATTCCGGAAGTTTGTACTCGTCCATTGTGACTGAGGCTTGTTGAACGGCGGGCTGGTGGACGTCGTCGCTCTGTCCTCCGACCATGCTGGTCATGATTGCGAATGGGAAGGCTGAATGCGGGGGGGAGCAAGACCGAGTGGCGGGGGTCTGTAATCGGAGGGCGACCACGGCGGTGCCAAGATGGGGAACAGTTAGGGTTTCAAGATTAGACGGACACCTAGTTTGAAACCCTCGGATAGGACGACATATAGAGGAACCGGATAAATTGGGAGAGAAGAGTTATGAAGGTAGAGGACAGCAGAGAAGAGAGAGAGAAAAAATATGATGGAAGGACGAGGCGGAATGGATGGAGTGGAATGCAACTGGATGCAGGCAGGCAGGCAGGCAGAGATAAATTAATCAGCCGCCATCCGTGGGGAAGGAGGGGTTACCCTACATTACGGTATTGTAAGATATTCACCATGTATACTCATCGTCGAGACTGAAATCTAGTGACACATTGTTACTCGGTGAGTCCCGGAAATGAAAATCACCTCATTCTTGTTATTGAGCAGTCGCTTATATTCACCATGCAAGATTTATCATGGTGGATTGAATAGTTCAACTGGATTTTTTCTCCTACTAATCCTTCTAGTGATTCTCCATTCAAACCTCCCATAGAAGCCTATCACTAACCCTTCAAATTAGACAAGATATGTATTAACCTGAATATCTACAGGAAGCTTGTTGGTTCACATCAATACCCACCTATTGCCTATCTGGTATCTACACCGAGTAAGACCCATACAACCTCGGGGATTCCCTCGGGAGTGCGATCTCAAAATTACAGACGGTCTCCTACCAAAGGGCAACCGATGGATCGCTCCGTTCAGGGTCCCGGCCTACCTCGGCAAAATCAACAGGGATGATCATTGAAACATTGATCCGATGAATGTCGACCGCCTTGGAACAGGCTCTTCTTTCCACCTGGGCGTATCGTACCCTGGACTGACTGATATGGCCATTCTAGCATTTCTTGCCCACTCCAAGCGGACGCAATTGATCCTACCGCGATTGTAGTGGCGTTGCAGCGAGCTGGATCCCTCGACGCAAGGGACCCGCACGGACGGCGATAAGAACGATCAATGCGCCCCGCAGATGCTGGCCAGGTCAGCAGGGTCAATATGTCAACAGAAGTGTTCTGTAAGCACAATAGACTAAACTCAAGGTTGAGATAAAATGAAGTCCGATATGTAAAATAAATCAAGTAAATTAAAAAAAAAGTAATTAAAGAAAGGTGAAGAAAAGAAAAGGGTACGATGATAAGATACCACTCTCTGCCTGATAAATCAGGTTGGCGGAATTGCTGACGTCCTTGCTCCTCGTGTATCGGTTGTCAAGGCCTGGACGATACCTAGCTCTTGATTATATGGCCACGATCGGCCCCGTATGTTCCATTCGGTAGATAGACAGCGAACCCCTCCGAAAACAGTCCGAACTCAAAGAGGATAGCATGCCCAGGCCCGAAGGCTGGCTCACCATCTGGCCCTACTGTCTGTCGAAACATCATATATTTTATTCTGTAGGGATCCTTTCGAATACCAGAGAAGAATGATTGGACCTGTCGTCCTGCGCTGTTTGTGATATAGAAAGTCTACTCCATTGCATGAGACCTGGTATCTCTTCATCGTTGATCGGTTCCGGCATCGCTGGTCGGATATCGGAGAGGTAACCGCCGAAGAATTGTTCGGTCTAAAGCCACTGATGCGCACCGGGTTCTTGATCAACCTTATGATAAACGTTACTTGATTGAACGGAGATTTCCCTGCAAGCCACACTGGACGAGAAGCATGTGTGTTATGACGATTGCGCTGGGTAGCTCCATAGATAGGCGGAGTCGCAAGGAGCATTCACCCCACCAGGATATGACAGACAAGCCCAAAATATCTTCACCTGACGACACTATTCACCATGTCAGAATATTATCAATCATATTGGCAGTGATAGACACCCCATGAGCCAACCAAAGTGGACAGAAGTGAGGGGGCAGGAAGGTAGCAGTTGGACTGCACTTGGTATACCTGACGTTCGCCGGAGTAGTAAGCGGTTGCTTCCTGAGGCGTCACCACCGCTTTCCCACGTCAACTACTACTATATCACACCCTCTTTCTTCTCTCCATCTTCTCTTTCCTCTTCATCACTTATCTCCAACTCATCTACCCCGTCCTCTCAAACCAAAACCACTTCAATCTTTTTCGTTGATTTTCAAGTTTGTCTTGTATCTATTATCGATCTTACCCTTCTCTCTCTTGTCGGTTCGATTGTGATTGCCTCTTGTCCCCTCGGTTCGGTCTTGCGGCCATCTGCTATCTCCTGACCAACGCTTCCATCACTAAATCCCCCCCTCGACAACCTCACCCTTTGCCCGTCTCCTCTACTCTCGGTCTCCATCTCTTAGAGTCAATGGATGGCAGATTGATCAGTCTTTACTGACGAGCGAGCACTCCCGATCCAGCTCTCGTTAGCGATCAACATATGGCCAGACAACGGCCCAACATTCACCGCCAGGACCCTCTTGAGGACTCATCCGCTGCGCCCTCCTCCGCCACTGCCGCCAGGTATATTCCACATCTCCTTGTCTTCCCTCGTCCTGTTTGAGCAGTTTGACTCGATCTCGCCTCATTTGATCCCCGGGTGTGCCCATTCTCGTCATCCGGCTTCCCTTCCAAAAGTCCTCCCACCAGGCCCCTCTTCCCTCATTCAACCTCCACTGTCATCGTTCCTCAAGTTTCAGCTGCTCATGTCCCCCAGAGTCACTCGCTCCGCTGCGAGACTAGCTGCCGAACCCCCTCCTTCCGGCACCAGTCCCTCTTCCGCAACCCCCGCCGCTGGTTCGGCCTCGACGAGGAAGCGCAAGGCCCCCGCCCGAAGCGACCGACCCGTGCCCGCCGCTGGACAGCCAAATTCGTCCTCCCCGTCCCAGAGGAACAAGAGACAGCGGCGTACATCTCCCAAACCAACTCCGGCTCCTGTTGCGTCGAGCCGCAGCACCAGAAATCGCCCAGCTATGTCCCAGCCTGGGTGAGTGACGCCTTTGACCCCCCACCCTTTACCATCCTTGTTGGCTGACTGCTTCGTACTTGACAGTCCGAGTTCCGACCCCGCGGAGGAGACTCCGAAGGATCAGCCATCGCCCCCTGCATCGCGGAGGAAGTCCAACAGAAACGGCAAGCTCGCACAAGGTAAGGGGACACTGAAATCGCCACTAAGGCGGTTCTGCGACGGGCAAACTGACAATGCTGCAACAGAGCGCCCTTCCACCGCCCAGTCCCCCCCACCTCGCCGACATAATAAGAAGCGTTCACCCCGAAATAACCCGGACGTGTTTATGAAAGAAGCGGACGAGGACGTGGAGGGGGAAGAGCATGGCGAAGAACATGATTCTTCTCCGCCAAGTGATAGTAACGACGGCACAAACCCATCAGGCATCGATGATGAGGAAGGGGATCTCTTTCACAACAGTTTGTTTGGGTCACGTAGCCCTCTAGGGCTTCAAAGTACGCTCAGAGCTTTGAGTGGTATGATGTCGGGCATGTCTTCCCGTTTACGGGAAATTCTGAGCAATCTGAGAGCCAAGGAAGATCCCTCCATCCAGCTGATTGCTCTGCAGGAGTTGTCAGATCTCCTGCTCGTATCTAATGAGGACAATCTGTCGGGCCAGTTTTCTCCAGATCCATATGTAAAAGAATTGGTCGCGTTGATGCAGCCGAATGACTTCGGCGAGGAGAACCCAGAGATCATGCTCCTGGCGTGCCGTTGTTTGGCCAATTTGATGGAGGCTTTGCGTGGTTCGGTGGCCAATGTGGTTTATGGCGGCGCCGTGCCGATTCTCTGCCAGAAGTTGCTGGATATTCAATTTATTGACCTGGCAGAACAGGCTCTGAGCGTGAGTCTCTTGAACCTCCTTCTTTTTCCTCCTGCGCCGTGAAATTTTGACCATCCTGACATCCGTTACAGACCCTTTCCAAGATTTCCGTGGACTTCCCAGCGTCGATCGTCCGGGAGGGCGGGTTGACGGCCTGTTTGACATATTTGGACTTCTTCCCGACAAGCACCCAGCGAACGGCAGTAACAACGGCGGCTAACTGCTGTCGCAATCTGCCCCACGATTCATTCCCTGTCGTACGAGATGTCATGCCAACCCTCCTGAACGTCCTTTCGAGCAGCGATCCCAAGGTAGTCGAGCAGGGGTGCCTCTGCGTGTCCCGGATTGTGGAAAGTTTCAGACATAAGCCCGAGAAACTCGAGGAGCTCATCGAGCCTGCGATGCTAAAGGCTGTTCTTCGTCTGCTGTTACCGGGCACGACCAACTTGATTGGCCCGCACATCCACACGCAGTTCCTTCGTGTCCTGGCGATCACATCAAAGGCCAGCCCTCGACTGTCAATGGAGTTGCTTAAGATGGACGTGGTTGATACCCTGTACCAAATCTTGACGGGCGTGTCGCCGCCGGAGAATCTGGATGATACCGCTGTTAAAATGGACAGTGTGCTTGTCATGCAGGCGCTGATCCACCGGCCCAGGGAACAAGTTTTTGAAACTTTGAACGTCATCTGTGAACTCCTTCCTGGGGTTCCCAGTCGTGCGCCGATTTCGTCGGTAGATCCGTGGCTCGGTAACCCTCTGGACAACGACACAGCCCTGGGGCTGAAGTCCCCCAAGGCCAAGGAGTCTGCGGAGAAGCGACGAGCCCTGTTGATGGAATGCAAGTCTGAGCTCAAGCGCTTTGCCATGATTTTGCTGCCAACATTGACCGACGCGTATTCCAGCACAGTCAACCTGGAGGTCCGCCAGAAGGTCCTGATCGCCCAACTCAAGATCCTGCATCATTTGGACTCTAGTGTCATCGAAGAGGCCCTGCGGACTGTGCCTTATGCGTCATTCCTGGCTGCAATCCTGTCGCAAAAGGACCATCCGTGTCTGGTTTCGTTGGCGCTTAGGTGCTCGGAGCTTCTCTTCCAACGATTGGAAAGCGTTTATCAACACCAATTTCACCGGGAGGGTGTCGTCGCGGAGATTTTCAAGCTGGCAGAAGAGCCTCTATCTGCAGAGAAGCAGGCCAAGGCCACGGGGAATACGGAGACTGCGGGCACCATGGACACTTCGGAGGATTCTCACCAGCAAGACAAGCCAGAGGCTGCCGATCCGGATGCCCACACCGAAGCCCACGACGGCGCCGACCACGATGTCCACGACGACGACTACGATGAGCAGGAGGATCGTGACGAGGACAATGATGACATGTCCGAGTCTGACGAGAGTTCTTCCTCCTTCTCTGGACCAGTGCTGTCAACCCGGATTGATGATGCCATGAATGACCTCGTAGTCCGCGATGCTCGCGCGTTCGTCGAGCTCTACGAAGCTAGTCAGGGCCGAGACATGCGGAGCAAGGCCTTGGAGATTCTAGAGGAGCTGAAGAGTCTCGCGGCCGACGTCGAAGCTTGTTACCTGAAGGATGCCGGCGGAGATGGTCTCTCGCTTTTCAAGAAGCTGGCCACATACTTCGACGGAGATGCGTTAGAAAGCATCACAAGCTCCGAGTTGCTCAGCTCTGGAATAATCAAGGTCCTTTTGGACGTTTTTGGGGACTTCCAAGGTAAGTTTTCTCATTCTTTCTGGGGTACAAGCCCAGTGTTGACCATCTCGCCAGAGCCGTCGATGCGTGAGGCTCGTGCTGCGTTTTTGCAGGCTTTTATGGGGACAAATATCTCAGCAAAGGCCCAGAGTCAGAGTACGGCCACTACCCCATTTAGTGTACTTGTCCAGAAGTTGCAAGACTTGCTCAGCCGGACTGAGCATTTCGAGGTGGCTACGGTTAGCCACAACTCGCTGGAGAACACGCGCAGCAACGCTGCGTACATGCTAGGAAAGCAGCTGAGACTTCGGCTGGTGGCGGACGACGAGTCCGACATCCCCCGCCCTTATCGGAACATCATGGTCTCTATCCACGCCATCGCGACTTTCAAGGCGCTGGATGATTTCCTTCACCCGCGGATCAGCCTTTCGGAGCGACCTAAACCGTCACGCAACCGCGAGACTATCCTTTCCCAGATTGCATCTGCGGCACGGCTCCGAGATCAGTTAACCGGAAACATGGAACTCTCTGGGGGTGAGACCTCGTCCTCACTTCCTCAGCCGTCCGGAAGTACAGGCCGACCTCCCCGTCCGGACGATTCCAATTCCGGTACCAAGGAGTCGTCGAACGAGAGTCGTGACCGTAGCTCCAAGTCTAGGCGATCTGGCCGGCACCAAGCCACCGAAGGCGACGACGACGAACCTCTCGAGTGCGCCGATGAAAGGCAGTTGAGTGAGGACGAGGACGAGGATGACGAGGGCGATGACGAAGAGTTAAACGCCATTGTGGATGACTTTGATGACGATATCTCAGAGGACCCAACCCATGACCCCACCGCGGTGAACATGGAAGTGGCGTCGACTGGGAAAGTGACAGCGCGCAAGGAGGATGGCACCCGCATTGCGACACCGTTGCAGTCTACGCCCGCATCCAAGCCATCCTCGGGGCCCAGCTCGGGAACACATCCAAGGGCAAGCGGCTCACTGGCCACGGCCGGCCGCCCATTCTCTTCCTACGCCGCTGCGATAGCTTCGATTCCTAACGATTGGCACATCGAGTTTACCGTGGACGACCGACCTGTTACGAGCGAGACAACCGTTTACCGCGCTGTCCATCATAACCGTGATCATCGGGACGCCAACCCACGCAATGTGTGGTCTGCCATTCACACCGTTAAGTTCAAGCGTGTCCCCGGTCCCCCACCTCCGGAATCCTCTATCTCGCCCGATCCCTCGCGATCTGCTGCGGACGAGGAGCGCAACGAGATGCCGCACTCCCTCAGCCAAGAGACAACCACCGCATCTATCCTTCGTCTGCTTCGTGTCCTGCACGAGATGAATACAACGCTGGACGATATTGTCGCCGAGACGAAGGAGCTGAGCGCACTCAAGCCCGAGCCACTGGCCCAGTTCATCAATACGAAACTTACGGCCAAGCTCAACCGGCAATTGGAGGAGCCGCTCATCGTGGCAAGCAACTGTCTCCCCAGCTGGAGCGAGGATCTTGCCCGTCTCTTCCCTTTCCTGTTTCCGTTTGAGACCCGTCATCTGTTCTTGCAATCGACCGCCTTCGGCTACTCGCGGGCGATGATGCGGTGGCACAACTCACAGGAGGGCGAGGACAGACATGACCACCGGCGGGACGACCGACCATTCTTGGGACGTCTCCAGCGCCAGAAGGTGCGAATCTCACGTAGTCGCATCCTGGAGTCTGCCATGAAGGTCATGGAGCTGTACGGGTCGTCTCCCAGCGTCCTGGAAGTCGAATATTTCGAAGAAGTTGGGACGGGACTGGGCCCTACTTTGGAATTTTATTCCACGGTGTCGAAGGAGTTCTCGAAGAAGAAACTCAAAATCTGGCGGGAGAATGACTGCCGCAATTCGGAAGAGTACGCATTCGGCAAGCGGGGGTTATTCCCATCGCCAATGAGTGAAGAGCAAGCTGAGTCGGACGCCGGGAAGAAGCAGCTGCAACTGTTCAAGATCCTTGGCAAATTTGTTGCGCGCTCAATGCTCGACTCCCGGATCATTGATGTCTCCTTCAATCCCGCCTTCTTCCGCATCGCCAATAGCTCTAACTCCGTGGTCCCGTCTCTCGGCACGGTCAAAGCCGTTGACCAAGATCTGGCCAATTCGCTTCTCCTTCTCAAGCGGTTCGCCAACGCCAAGACTGCCATCGAAAAGGACCCAAGTCTGTCGGACGCTCAAAAAGAGCAGGCACTCCAGAAGGTCGAGGTGGACGGGGTCAACGTCGAGGATCTCAGCCTCGACTTCACCCTTCCCGGGTATCCCTCGGTGGAGTTGATCAAGGGTGGGTCTGATATCTCCGTCACCATCGACAACGTGGATACGTACGTGGACCGCGTGGTCGATATGACGCTGGGCAGCGGAGTGCGACACCAAGTGGAGGCATTCCGCAAAGGCTTCTCGCAAGTGTTCCCGTATGCGGCACTTCGAACCTTCACGCCTAGCGAGCTGATCATGCTGTTTGGTCGAGCGGAGGAAGACTGGACGATCGAGAGTAAGTTTGCGTCCATAACGTGGTGGGATGATTTACTGACGCTAGCAGCTCTCACGGATTCGATCAAAGCGGACCATGGATTTAATATGGATAGCCGCAGCATGCGCAATCTCCTGCAGACCATGAGCGAGTTGAGCGCGCAGCAACGACGGGAATTCTTACAATTCGTTACTGGTAGCCCGAAGCTTCCGATTGGAGGTCAGATCATGACAACCGCCCTGGGTTCTGCATAAGCTAATACATTTCTATAGGATTCAAGAGTCTCACCCCCATCTTCACGGTGGTGTGCCGGCCCAGCGAACCGCCTTACACACCGGATGACTACTTGCCGAGTGTGATGACATGCGTGAATTACCTCAAGTTGCCCGACTACAGCAGCTTGGACGTACTTCGCGAGCGGTTGACCGTGGCCATCAAAGAAGGCCAGGGAGCGTTCCACCTTTCCTAAAGTTAAGCTGCATGCGGGGTACATTAGAAGAAAAGAGATTTCAAGTATTACTTCATCTACGCGTGGAATTGTTTTGTCGGTGGATATCGTGCATTCGGGACTTCACTATTACTATCTTTGTCATGTTCATTATTTCAAGGTTAGGCGGGAGTACGTGGATCTGATTTCTGGTAGATAGAAACGAAAGTACATGATGCTTATTAGTCTATGTGTAGTGTATATTCTATGTCTATTTTTTTTTAGTCCCGTCCAGATACTTCCTCCCTCATCAATCAGTTGCGGTACAACGGAACGATCGACTATAAACCAGTTAGCACAAGACCCCTAAAAAGACGGAAAGAAGAAGGAACCTACATCCGCAAACTTCGGCTCCACAAACAACGCCCTCCCCTCAGCAACAACAACATCCTCCTCCCCAGCCACAGCATCCGCCCCCTCCCTCTTCAACATGGTCAAATCCCCCCTCACCCAAGCCTTCCTCCCCTCAACCTTCACCGTCTCCGCCTTCAGCAAGAACAACCGACCCGGAATCCCGGGCTTCCTGAAATCAACATTCAGATTAGCAGTCATGCCGAGCCCGCTCGTCAACGACGCGGAGACACAGCGCGCGAAAGCCTCGTCGAACATGACTGTTAGCAGACCGCCGTGCACGTAGCCCGGGTGGCCGCCGAGGTTGCCGCCGATGTGGAAGATGGTGTGGGTTGTTGATTGATGCTGGTTTTGTTGGGTGGAAGGGGAAGTGGCCCAGACGTAAGGGGGCACTGTGAGCCGCGTGGGGCCCGAGAGCGTGCCTGCGACGAGGTGGTTCTGGCGGAGGGGGAGCGGGATGGTGCGGTGGGGGCGGGATTCGGTGAGGAGGGGGTTTTGGCGGAGAGATTGGGTGATGGGGTGGGTTGAGATGAGGGATTCGATGTGGGATTCTTCCGTGGATTGGGTGGTGGTGGTGGTGGTGTTGATTGAACGGGGGGGTGGGGGGGATTGGAATGAGGGGGCAGAAGCGTGCGAGGCGGAGGGGGTGGGATCCTGGGCGACTGCTGAGGCGGAGATCTTGACTGTTCGTTTTTGGAGGAGTCCTTGGATTGGGGAGAGGTGTGTGGTGGTGGATGGGAGGGTTGGTCGGGAGCGCAGGGTGCGCGTGAGGGTTCTGGGTAGAGACATTGTGCTTGTCGTTTCCTTCTGTTTTTCCCTTTGGAGATGAACTAGTGTGGTGTTGAGAGATCTGTGGTATTGTGAGTTCAATGATGTCTAATAGGAAGTAGATATGTCTATCCTACCTTGTTGTATATCGGGTCGGAGATATGTACAGGGAATCAACCACACTGCAAGAAAGCAACCTTTTGAGTCCCGCCAAAGCACAAACGAGTCTAATCTAAAGAAATAAAAAAAAACCGGGAACAGAAACGAAAGGAAAAGAAAAAAAAAAAATAGAGATAAGCCACAGTGGAGCTGACCAGACTCCTCTTGAGTGAACTAGATTGGATAAATCGTCTAGATCTAGGAAAATTCGACCACACCAGGCAGTGGATCGGCATCCCGAGTGGGGCTGAACGGGTTCCCGATTTCCGACTTTCCCGAGTCCCGTGTCACTGTCATCCTTGCCTCGGTACCAGGTTTCGGGTGGCAGCCCTATATACATTAACGTTCCCTTGGCGCATCTTATTTTTTTTATTTTTATTTTTTTAAAATTAGCAGCTGGGTCGGTACGAGGAATCTGGATAAGATCTCTTAATCTTGTTAATTTGACATATGTGAATGTAAGCCAACTGCACTAATTTTAAATGGTATCTCTTGCATATGCTGGAATGTGTCTCACTAAAATCCCAACGGATCCACTTGTCCCAAAAAGCTCTGATTGCCTTCGCCCCGCAGCAGGGCTTCGATATCCACACGCCCAGAAGTCAGGTACTTCTCGCTAACGCCGACGTTGACGCGCTGCGACAGCAGGTGGTTCAGCTCGGCGCGCATGCCGGCCAGCTCACCCTTGCTGACGCTGCCGGCCTCGCGTTGCCGCTGCTCACGACCGCCTCCCCGTCCACGGGGCCGGCTCTGGGCGTCCTCCAACTCGTCACTGTCGTAGTCGACTCCGAGATCCTCCGCCGCCTTGCGGAGCCAGTTGTCCTCTGCCGTAATCTTTTCCTTGGCGATGTTCGACTCCGTCAACTTCGACGCTAGGACCACCCGCTGCTTGACGCGACCCACTACTCGGCGGTCTAGCTCCAGCGACTCGAGGGGCATGCTCTTGGCGTCGCCCCTGCGGGCGTGCACCTTGGCCGCTAGACGGATAACGCTCGTCATCTCCTCCGGCGAGCAGATGATGACGCTCTTTCCGGATGCGCCTGCACGCGCGGTACGACCGGACCGATGGACGTAGGCGTCAGCGGCGCGGGGCGCGTGGTAGTGGACGACGAATTCGATTCCTTTGATATCGAGACCGCGGGCGGCGACGTCCGTGGCGACGAGGATGGAACCGGGGTCGGCTGTCGGCGAGGAGAATTTCTCCACGGAGCGGAGACGTGCCTTTTGAGCCATGGAAGAGTGCAGCGCGAGAGCGGGAAGCTTGAGCGCTTGCAGGAGTTGGGTGAGTCGGCGTACGGCTGAGATGGAGTTGGTGAACACTAGGGTGCGGTGTTTGGGATGGTAGAGCATTAGGGTGTAGAGGTAGAGGTCCTGGTAGAATGGTCAGTAATGAGTTCAGGGTGGATGGTGACTGCTGTGTGTTTCTTTACCTTTTCCATTGCAGGGCACTCGACGATGCCTTCCTTGAGACCCTCGGCCATCTGCGAAGCAGGGTTCGCGTCGATGAACTTGGGCTTCTCTTCGCGGAAGTTGAGCTTCTTCAATAGATACTCCATGGACTCCTGGGTGCTCATGATATCGCCTCCCGACCACTGGCCCTTGCCGGCCAGCTTCTGCTGCAGGTCGCGGTGGAATGTCGCCGAGAAAACCAATGTCTGCCGCTCGTCGCGAGGGTTTTCTTCCTCGGACGCCGCCTCCTCACCTTCCGGGGTCTCGTCTACCTCCACACGGTCGAGCGCATCGAGGATCTCCGTGGCTTCCTTGAAGTGGCCCTGGCTCAGCAGCCGATCCGCCTCGTCAACCACAATATATTTGATCTGCTGCATCTTACGGATCAACCCGGTTCCGGTGCGGAGGACCTCCCACAGTCGACCGGGAGTTCCGATAACGATATCGGCTCCAACCAGCAGACGTTGCTGCTTCTGCACGGACAGACCGCCTGTCAGGAGCGCAATTCGAGCATTGGCCCCCGGGGCATTGTTGTTCAGCTCTCCGATGTGCTTTGCCAGCTGGTGGGCCAATTCTCTCGTAGGGGAAAGAATCATAGCCAGAGGTGGACGTTCCGTCTTGTCTGACTTCTTTCCCTCTCGATCCCGTCTCCGCTCTAGGTAGTGCTGTAAGAGCGGAATGCCAAAGGCCAGGGTTTTTCCGGAACCCGTCGAAGCTTTTCCAACGACGTCGTGGCCTTTCAAAATATGTGGGATGCAGGACTTCTGAACAGTGGTTGGGGTACTGAACTTCATCTTCGAGAGACTGGTGAGGATCTCCGGGGCGAGACCGAGCGACTCCCACTCGGAGACGTCCACGCCATCGTCTTCTTCCTCGTCTTGTAGCGCTGCGAAGGATAGTCCCGGTTTGATGCTTTTATCGGCATCATTCGCAAGTTTCGCTTTCGCTTCTTTCTTTGGATTCTTCTTCTCTTTCTTTCCGGTTTCCTCGCTTTCCTCGGACTTGGCGTCCTTCGCTTTCGGTTTCCGCTTGGTGTCGTCTTGGCCCTTGTTATCTTCGGTCACTGGCGCATCCTCGGTCGCGTCCCCGTCCACAGCATCATCATCACCAAAACCGCTCCATTCGTCGTCGGAGCCACTCTCCTCGGCTGTTTTTTGCTTCAAGATGGACTTCTTAGGTTTCCCTGGTTTGGCCTGACTTTTCGTCAGTACCGTGCATCCACCGCCGAGGTTGGATCCCATACCTTGAACTTGATCTCTCCGATGCCATCCGGTCGCACAATATCGACCCCTTCAATTTCCTCCAAACCGAAGAAGCCTTCCGTATCCTCCATGCGATCAGGGAGATCCACCGACGACCAATTGAGATCGTTCACTCCCACGATTTCATCCCCGCTCTCATTTCCGTTCGAGACATGCGTAGAAGAACCCTTCGTTTTCTTTTTCGACTGAATCGCCGACCCCTTGGGGTCTCTACGTCGTTTCTGGCCCATGGCTGAAGGGTATTAGGGCGTGAGAGGTGTTGTGGTCGAGAAATTTCCCAAATGAAATGCGCGCGGTTGAAACAGACAGCGGCAGAAAAAAAAGAAAAAAGTTCTCCGCCCTGCAGAAACTCTGTCGTCGAGTACCGCTCTCTCTACCGCCTTCCCCTTCCGTCAGAGGAGACGGGAGCCCTGATGTCAGGTGATTTTGTCCATAATGGGATTAGCGCAGCCTGAACCCCATATCACTTCACTTCTGATGTATGTCCAAATCATTGCACACGATTCAGCCTTGCACTAACCCGCGGCGCAGTTTGCCAGGTAGCTTTACGGTGACCATCAATTCTATGCCTCATTCGCCATATCTTGGCGCCGAGCTCCGCAGATCACTCATGGTTCGCCTGGGAGCGGGGCCACCACAGCGCCAGCTCCCTAGCAGTAGCAAATGGTTATATACTCTTCCTAGATGTGGCTTCATGTGAGTGGGTAGAAGCTCACATGGTAACGAGAGTAGAACGCGAGAAATGTGGGGTCTCCGGGCAACATGCGAACAGAGCTTATACCTTTATGGCCTATGTACATATGACATGGCGATCCCATCAAGTATCCCGAGTTTCAAAGTTTGCGAGGGGCAATAGGAAGTATATCCGGGTATCTGATACCAAGAATTGGTTGCAACCCAAGACTGAATTATTGGAGGGCATGGTACAACCAGGTTGCTGCCCAAGACTGGCGTCATTCCGCAGTGATGGCACAGGTAGCTGTGCCGCACAAGTTGAGTGACTGTTTGTCTTGTGCGCACAGCATGTTTCATGGCCTGAGGCTACAAGTGTAAACGTCTATTTTATCTCTCGCTTCTCCTCGCCAGAATATCCCAAACACATCTCCACTGCATTTGATCCATCAAATCTAGTAGTTAACATCATGACGGACTCCCAGAATCTCGTGGGGTGGTGAGTCCTGAGTTCATAAAGCTGGCTTAGTATCCTGATACTGATTACATGCACGAATAAGGTACAACGAACTCCCATCGCGGACCCTGGACCTGGTCGGAGACTACGCGGGAAATGAGCTATTTCTGATCGAAGGCGATTCAATCCTATTGCATTGCTTTTCTGAGAAACAGCTGGATTTTTCACCTGGGTTCCAGCTGCTCCATGCCACCTACCTTGTCGAACGGTTTCTGTCCCAGCTGTATCAGAGGAAGTGCAACTTCCACATCGTCTTTTTCTCCACACATTCTCAGGCGTGTATCCCCCGCGATGCCAACGAGACACAATGGCCAAAATACTTGCTTGCACGCGAAGCGATTCTCCAGCACCTGGAGCAGACCTTGCCCTCTACAGCCCCGTCTGTTTGCATCAAGCGGTTCACAACCTACAACTGCCAACAATTCGAGGATTACCTTGCCTCGGTAGGGGCGTACTTCATCATGTGCCATGATGGTGCAAGTACAGAAGCAGCCAAGAGCCTTGATCTGACACTGGATGATGATTTAGATGGCGTTTCGCTCTCCTATCCATCGACCAGGTATTCCACCGTTTGGCCAACAGCTATGCTTCTGCGATCTATGATTCATTGGTCTATCTGTCATGGATATAATGTCGCCTTGCTGAACAACTTGGAGTGTCATGACACCAAGGTCAGTATTCTTTCTTACATGTATAGCCCACAACTTACCACTATAGGTCATTGCGGTGATTGTCGAGGGCTCTGCGACGCATGCACGACAGCTTTTTCAATCGACAACCACTTCTTCTTCCGCTTCTCAACCGGACGATTCGTCATCTGGGTCCGAGTCGGAGAAATCTTCCATATCTGACACGGGCACCACGCTTGACAGTAGTAGATGTCAATCAATCACTGCTGGCTTCAATCAGCGCTTGAACCTCACCAAGTTGGCGGAACTCTCTGAAACTATCAACAGTAAATT